AATCAATAACACACATCATTGTAAAATCAAAACAATCATCAATCGGCCCTCCGCTCAAAATCTAAAATTTAATAATGCTCATGAGTCATAACTATAACTTATAACTATTTTGTGTAAATTTAAAACTAAAATAAAACCATCAGAGACAACAGATAATATAATTTACTTACATATTTTACAATAGGTTGATTCACTCTTATAATATTAGAACTACCTAACGAAGTTCACTTGAACTGCGAAATGTAAATTTTCAATGTTACAAGATTGTGAGACGTAAATATAAAATACTGGTGTGGAGTCCTCATAATGTGTTTATACATTTTTTTCAAATTCGGTCAACTTATCAACCCATAAGAAATTAGTCCATAAAACTACGAGTCGTGTTCAAGGCTGTCGGTACAGTACTATAATATTATACCACATCTACACTTCCACTTCCGTATAGTCATAGCATATTATCAAAATTGATATGACACTTGGTCATCACAATATATAATAATTGTACAGTCGTAAATCATCAGATACCATAACATTGTATTTATATACCTATCTCATAAATTGATGATATACATTTTATAACAACTGCTATAGGTATTTAAGAAATCTAATATATTAAATTCTCGTGTCACAATGTTAGTTACCATACTCCTCCGAAACGGCTTGACCGATTTTAATGAAATTTTATATACACATTCAGTAGGTCTGAGAATCGGCTACTATCTATTTTTCATACCCCTAAGTGATAAGGAACAAATAAAAATAAAAATATGAATAGGTAGTGTATAATATATTGGTTGCTATTGGTTAATCCGGCATGTTTGTTGATTTGTTTTATTATCTTTTGTCAATATATATAAATGAATGTTTTTGTATAGATTAGACCACTGGGAAGAAGATAGGCTAATTTAAAAAGGGTTAAATTGGTTTTTTTTTTATTCATCGGATTTTAGTACTGTTAGGTTAGGTTAGGATTTTGTATTAATTGATTATATTAATCCACCGTAGGTGGAATTAAGTAAAAACGACAAACTTGGTATAACTTTGATACTTTAGAATTAAATCATACACTTATGTACAAACAGCACGGGGCCCGCGATCTACGATCTAGATTGCTTACCTTATAATGTAAAGCTGAGAAACACAAATTTTATTCCGGGCAACGGAAAAGTTAAGATAAATTTTGAACACCATACACCGAATATTAAATAACGAATTGAACAAAATTTGATTCATATAGAGTTGATACATTTAACTGACAACGAAGTGCATGGGATCAGCAGAAGTATTATAATTTATACATTTTTTACGCTACTGAGTACGAAAACGCGTTTTATTCGTAGAGACTTGAAAAATGAAACTTGCAAATGATAAATTATTGAATTACATTTTATCACATCAATATTATTCATTTGAAAAATGTTAGTTATATAAATTGAATTTCTAATGAGTGGTTAATTAATAATTAGTTATAACTTAAAGTATTGAAAGGAAAAATCTAAATAATACGACATTTGGTAAATAACTATTCTCATTATATTATATAGCTACTAATAATTTGTTTAACCAATTAGAAATTGAAAACAAATAAATATTTTACATGTTACATAACAATCAAAACTACTAATTAGCAATTACTATATTGAGTACTACCTACCTCAAACGTAATTGAATTGGACTGAAAGTGTTCGTTTTAAATGGTAGTATTCAAACTTTCTTCGATTTGGATCCAATAAGTATAAAAACCAAAGAAAAAATAAATTATATATCTACATACTGCTTTTATAAATACCTACTGAATGTATAGTTATAATATTATAGGTAACCGCTCTGCTGAACTAAGAAGGTAGTACAGTAGGTGTGGAGTGTACTTCGTAATTGAATAAGTCACTGTAATGTATGTTTTAATTATGTATTCAATAAATAAATCATTGCTTACTAGCAAAAATTTGAGCGATGATCAGCCTATATTTTATTAACTACTAAATTATTTCATGATACATTTAATATTTATATTGACATTAAAGTAATTAATTGTATTAAAATACACATTCAATATAATAATAATATGTATAATATGCCGAATAAGCTAATTTCACCAAGATCGGGTCAAGGTCGCTGTCCCGAGATCCTTGCCTGATCCACTATAGTCATTGCCGTATGTTGATTAGCGATGTATATATTATTACCACTAACCTTAATAATATTATGATAAGCACCGTTTCGTTGTTATATTATTATTTGTATAATTAGCGTATTTTTCCAACCGAGATTTCTTGCCACAATTATTATTTATTATTTTATATTTATTATCGGCGGTATATCACACAGTGTTGGGGAGTAACTTAACTTAAGTTACAAGTTACTGTAACGAAATTACTTTTTAAGTAATTTGATGGTAATTTAATTACATTTTATTGTAAGTAATTTATATGTAATTTAAGTTACTTTTTTGTAGTAATTTTTACTAAATTACTCGTTACTTTTTTTTGGATTAATACATTTTTTAGAACGTACCTATTGATAATATTGTGTGTAGGTAAATATTAAAATATATCATAATATAACTTATTAGTATTTTAATTTATAGGTAAAATTGTATGAACTGTAGGTACTATTTTTGTTATAGCTATTGACAGTTCGACTATAAAGTGTTACTTTTAGAATGGAATTCTTATCTTTACTCTGTTCTCTGTGTTGTATCGTCGCGGACGGCTCACGGCGTCAGCGTCTGCGTATACAGCATTGTTGGAACTATCAATAAATAGTAATAATAATAAAAGTGAGGGAGACGGAGTGGCCGAGCGGACTAAGGCGTTGGTGGCAACGCGCACCGTAGTTGGTTGGAATCTCGGTAACGGGCAGACTACAGATGCCCAATTTGAAATTCTTTCAAGCTGAAACACACGTGTTTACAAAAACCTACCGTACCCTCCATCTCAGTTAAAAACCACCCAATTGCTGCGGGTTAGTTAATATAAAAAAAAATAATTAATAAATAAATGTGTGGCTTGGCTGCTAGCTACCAGTCGCGCAATACGACTGAGAGTAAGTTGCGCCCGCTGCTACTAGTTCCCGGATGGGTGACCACCCGGATTCGTAGTAGTAAAAACCTTGCCACACTTACACGTGTTTACATACATACCATAACAACACCTTACCATACCAAATTTACCAACCACAGTTTATAATCCCCTACAACAGCTTATGGCCATAGATTCCGGGCTTAAGTTCAATAAAAATAATAATAATAATAATAGTGTAGCAAAATGAGTATCTGCTAATAATTTCACATTTTTGATTGGTATTACCTATTGAGTTTATGTATTGTTATATTGACAACATGATTATTAAGCTCCAGTGATATTTTTGAAAAAAAGTAACTTCTATTGTAATTCAGTTACTTCTTAAACTCAAAAGTATTGTAACTTAACCATATTAAAAAAAAGTAACTTAAAAATAATTTAGTTACAATTTTGATAAGTAATTAGTAATGTAATTTAATTACCAAAAATAAGTAACTTCCCCAACACTGATATCACACAGTCTCGACACACTTTTCACTGATCCACCTTTTTTTAGATTCTGAGCGGAGCGATGAATGTATTTTTCTTTTACATTGTGTTATTAAATCCTCCTGTATTGTCTGATTAAGTAATATAAAAATATGTTGTGTACTGGTCAATATATATATATATGTACCTAAGTCCTAGCTCACACATTGAATCGGTGCCACTGGCACATAATATTATTATTGCTGTTTAATATTGTCACAAATTATATTTCCATATTTTGTGCATTTAAAGTGCAAATAACTGAAAATCAGGGCCGTAGATACGATTTACAAAGTAAAAAGTGTAAAAATGTCTAGTTTATTCTAAAATTTAAAATGTTTATATTATAAACCATTTTTTTTTTAACTGAATAAATACTTAATATAATGTGGTACATTTATAGTGTAGTGCCCACGAACTAAGATATAATGGACTGGAAACGACAAGGTGGGCGGATGACGGGGGACGGCCCTCAAAAGGTTCCTCTCTTATCATCGACACTCTTAATCGAAAGTTTTCAGCGCTACCAGTAGTTTTATTTAGGGTCACATTTTGTATCCTATTCCATGTTTTATACAGATTGCGCTGTAAACTCTCGATTATGATGGCGACCCCCCGCATTTACCTCTTGTACATACTTTCGAGGCCACTGATAACATGCTCGTTTCCAGTCCATTATATTATCCAAGGTGTATTGATAAGGTGTCGTCACTTGTTTGAAAACTTGATTGAAAATATTACTACAGATAGTCATCGCCACCGGGAGCGCTGTATGTCCTAAAGAGGCCTATAGAACAATGGTACTACCACGGACTAAGATATAATCAAGGTGTATTGATAAAGTGTCGTCACTCTGGACCCCTATACATACCCACTTTTGATTGAAAATTTTACCACAGTTCTATAGACACCAGAGGGCGCTTCCTGTCCTATGAAGGCCGATTTTTTCATACTGTTAAATGCAAAATGCCTTTAAACTATGGGGTTATAATATAGGGTATATGTTTTTTTCTCTTTTCATGTATATTAATTTATTTTTAAAATATAATCTTTAATTTATAAAGATAGTCCTTGCAGTTGTAAAAATCTTAATTAAATTAATATTGCTAAATACAACTATTCAATTTAAAATCCAATTACTAGGTATATTTTTCTAGGTGTTGAAGTTGAAAGAAAAGGTAGGCTTGTTAAAACAGAAATGTGCTACTGCATCTGCAACAGTTATTGAAAATGAAATATTTAGGTTGCCTGAGAGTCAACAAGAGGTAGTACGTGCTTGTTTTGCTGCTGCTAAATTAAAAGATCCTAAAGGAAATCGTTATTCTATTAACTGGATTTATGAATGTCTCTTGGTTAAAATAAAAAGTAGAAAAGTTTACGAACATCGTCGTACAAGGAACAATATTAGCTTTACCTTGTATAGATACTTTAGGGAAATATATAGCAAAAATGTTTGGTCAGTATGGTTTTCAACAAGCCATTTTTGATCTTTTAGCAAAAAAAGCGGATTGTATGGCTCCCAAAGAAAATCTAGGTAAATTTTTTTAGGCATACCTTTTATCTTACCAATAAAATTAAAGTATACATATCTAGCATTATATTTTATGATTTTTATTTTAGGAATCCTATTATTAGATGAAATAAAATTGAGTGAATCAGTTTCATTTAATAAAAAAACTCTAAAGGTTAATGGTTTGGTAAACTTGGGCAACTATACTCCCGAACATCAAAAAAATAGTAAAGATGATCATGCCTTGGTGTTAATGTACCAACCATTCCAAAGAAAATGAGTTCAGGCATTGGCAGTGTTTTTGAGTAAAGGTTGTGCTTCAAGTACAGTGTTGCACAAGATTGTTATTGAATGTGTTATTCTTTTGGAGAAGTCTGGTTTCCATATAGATAACATTGCAACTGATGGTGCTACATGGAATCGAAGTATATGGACAAAATTTGTAATTTCTTCTGAAAATATTAGTTGTGAGCACATTTATGATTCATCAAGAAGATTATGGTTTTTATCAGATTTTGGTTTTAACTTAAAAATATGTCCTGGTTTAAGTTATGATGACATACATCCTAAACCCTACCAAAAAATTAATGTTGGCAGAGCATACCGTGTATGTATTAATAATATTTTTCATTTAAGATATAAGTTAATTATTTTATTCTATAGTTTTTTGGTGAAAAAACTGCTATAACAATGGAAATTTATCGAGAAAACAATATTGATTTAATTGATTGTGAACCATCAGTTATACTTATCTCCCGAATAAATAGTTTAATTCAGGCTATGGATTTCCGAATTCCTAGCAACAGTCTTAGAAAAGCTTCTCCTGAATATAAAGTAGGCGCTGGCCACAGTTGTCAAAGTAAAATGTTGCTTTATTTTTACACCTGTGTTAATAAAATCATTGATCAATTCTGACAGGTAATTAAAGATTTTATAGACTATTTGGATCAATGGCATGACAATGCTGAAAAAAAAACAACTGTAATTTTTTGACTGATAGCACATATTTTGGTCTAAAAGTTTCACTAAAGGCCACTCTAGAAATGTTTGACTATCTTGAGCTTAGTTGTGATTATCAATTTTTAATGACAGCTAGATTAAACCAAGATAATTTAGAGGTATTTATTTAATTTAAAATATTTAAAATAAAACCTTCAGGCTTCATTGCATTTATATTGAAAATATTTAATACTACTTATTAGAGATTCTTTTCAATGATGCGGAGTTCATGTGGATCTAATGATCACCCAGATTCGGTATTATTTGTTCGAATATTTAAGCTAATTTGCACATATTCATTGGTAAAACCACGCAAAGGGTCAAATATAACAGGGGTGAATTGTCATCATTATTTAGTATTAAGGACTTGAACACACAAGAAGATAAATGTAAACAATTTCACCAAGCCATAGACAATATAATAGATCAAGGGTCAGATTGCCCTGATATCATGGTTTTTTTTTTATTATTATGACCATGATTATGTTAGTATAACTGTGACAAATGATCCAGTATTAGCATATATTGGGGGTATGTAGCTAGATTTACCAAGTGTCTAAATTGCCTCTCATCTCTAAAATCAGAAATAACTGATTCAAGAGATGTTTTGATTGATAAATTATCCCATGGATATTTAATAAAACCATCAGAAAAACTGTTTAATTTAATTAGTACCATAGAGGCTGCAACACTATATGTTTTAAATGAAGAAGGACTATGTAGCGAGGTACTATTTAATATTTGTTCTTAACTGAAACAAATAGAGTCGCTACAACTTGTTGGATGTGATCTCCATGCACATGGCTTAACATCATCCTTAGTTTCTTCTCATAACTAGGGTACATTTCATTAGTTCTCGATCCAATTCTATAGATAATGCTAAGAAAGAAAACTCAAAACCTTATAGAAAGTCTGCAAAGTTTATTTAAGCACATGCCTATAATTAATACCTACTATTTTATTACTTACATATTGTAATAGGTATTATTTGTTATTTGATGTTTGTAATGTATGCATATACTTAAAGGAAAAAGTGACTATTATAAAATTATAAAAGTATGTTGTGTTTGATAAAATAAAAAAAAGTTACATGAATATTGAATAGAATTTTGTATTAATTACAAAATAGAATTATCACATAGAATAATTATTATCATTTAGAAGGTACAGGTTTATTTATATATTTTTTTTTTTTATTGATCTAATAAATGCCCGACAACTATGGTCATTAGCTACAAATATTGAATATACAATAATTATTTACAGTTTTAAGGTATTCTTATATATAAGTTAGGTATTAACATTGAAATTACAGAATAGGTGTGGTTACATAGTGTACAGTCGGATTAAATATTATTATATTAAATTGTAAAGGCCTGTCAATTTCAGGAATTTTATTATCTTAAAGTTTTCTTCGGTGTTGGGTCCCAGTGCGGTGTCCAGTGATGAATCTAATCCGATGATTTGACGATCGCGTTGGAATTTTAGGCATTCGGTTATGAATTTATATGAATTTATATGAATTTATATGAATTTATATTTATACTTGTGTGAAAATATGTTAAGTAAAGAATTAGAATATGAACCTACATTTTCCTAATAAACTTATAAAAACAGCTTTTGGTTTTGAAAAATAAATGTAGTTATTTTAGTATTATAATACTAAATACTCTGTATATATATTTATATTGGAGTATATTTAAGGATTCTATAAACACATATGTACTTCTCATGCTGGTGGTACAAGACAGTTGTCATTATTATTATCAAACACCACCCGATGGCCGATTCCTGATCACAAATTTCCATTCACCAATATAATAATAATAATATAGAAATGGGTATACTGTTATTATTATTCCCATTATTGTTTTTCTTCTGTAAAAACCACGATCTTGGACTTTGTGAGAATTGCGATTCTATATAATATTATTACTATGAGCACGTATATCGCATTTGTATATGTTATCTTGTACCACTAATGGACTCCAAATACAAGACACGCGTTTTGAATCATCCGTACAACAATCGTATTATAATCGTATATATATACACCATACACATATGTTATCGTGACGGAGACGACGAATATGCATACAATATAATGCGTTGCAGCGTGTATATATGCACTCGAAAAGCTTCGTGGTGCCGATGGGATTTACGATATATTATTATACCTACACCAGTATATGGTCTGATTGTACACCACCAATGTACCTAACTATAATAATATATAGATATGTAGGTACGATTGTTGTTCATGCATTAAAAAATACACATGCCGGCTTTTGTTGACATTTGGTCGCGTTGTTTGATTCATTACCATGTGATTAGCCGGAAACGACTTAAATAATATTAGTGAGTGTAATGAATAGTCTGTAATAAATTTGTAGAATATTGTACTGACGTTCAAAATGTTTGTTAGTTCGAAATTCGGTTTTTATTAATTAATCCAAAAAATGGAAGTAAGTTAGCCAGATCGATAGATAATCGTTTGTAGTATGGTTTTTATCCAGAAAAAAGATTTGTGAGTGAATTTATTAATTATTATCAAATAAAAAAAAAATTAAGAGGTACAAGCGTTCAGAGGTAAGTGGTGAGCTGCGTTAGTGAAGTGACTTTTTTTTGCTGCGAATAAATATTATATAAACGTTGCAAAATAAAAAAAACAGATTCAACTATCTTGGCCCATACTAATTAATATGAATAATTAATGATCGATTATTATAGCATCTATACTGAGCCCCCATATCAGTTAGCATTTAGTATATTTATATTATTATTATTATATTATTTATATTTATATTTATATTAATATTTATATTTAGTATATTTAGTATATTTATTTAGTATATTTATATTAATTGATTAATTCACTCACAAATCTCTTTCTTGGATAAAAACAATACTACAAACAATGATCCATCGATCTGTCGAATAAAAATAAAAATAATAAAAGTATCAATAATAAATAATTCCGTATAACTTCCTCTCATTTTTTAAATTAATTAATATTAACTCACGTGTACCGTTCAAAAGAAGTTTCACTTCCCGCTAGTGTACTGGTAATTTATATTATAATAATTCAACCAACATACATGATTAACCAATAGCAACCAATATAATATAATACACAGTTGCGCCACTGTTGTATTTGTTACATCCATATTTCCAATTTTTCGGTGAATTTTCCTAAAATTTTCTTTCGAGCCAATCTTCTCCTGGCAATTACGAACATCTTAAAAAAAATTTGAGCTAAATCGGTCAGGCCGTTCTCGAGTTTTAGCGGGACCAACGAATAGCAATTCATTTATATACATATATATATATAGATAACTAGAAAAACTAACGATTTTAAGACATCGGGTCTCCGTAGTTCATGGATCTATAAATACAAAATTGTGACTGATATCACTGATATCATATCAGTAATACCATCTATATATATTTTATATATTAAAAGAATATTTACAATCTATACAACATACGAGGTGTAATGAGTAAGTGTGGTGACATAGGAACATTAGACATAAATAACATGATAGGAAGGCTCCCAGCAGTGCCACCTGACCAGAAATTAGGTTTTTTTTTTTAATAGTTTTTCGTTAGTTTATCTTTTTTTTTTTTAAGTATTGAGCAGGTCTCTTGGACATTTTCTTTTTAACCTTCTAGGAATGAGTGAGGAAGTGGATAGATTTTTAATTAGTGGATTTGAATGAGCGCGAAGTTTTGAGTGGAATTTTATATTTTTATGTAATGAGATTTGGATGAGTCGTTGAGGGTTGGAATATTAAGGTCTTTGTGGAGGTATTTGTTGGTTACATACCAAGGGGCAGAGGTTATTAAGCGTAGGCATATGGATTGGATTATTGGAATGCTTGCAAGGTTTTGGTATTTGATGGCTTTGCTGGCCCCCATAGTTGGATGCCGTAAAGCCAAGCCGGACGAATTATCGATTTGTATATCGTGAGTTTGTTGGCTAGAGAAAGTTTCGATTTTAATAGGGGTCTCAGAAGATGCAGTCTAGAATTCACAGATTTGCGTTTTTGTTTTAGATGTGAGCTCCAGGTAAGGCGTTTGTCAAATACTAATCCTAGGTACTTTACTACATCTGATGAAGGAATTATTTTGTTATTAAACGTGACAGGTGGGCAATCAGAATTGCGCAATGTAAAAGTTACATGAGTAGACTTGTTTTCATTGATTTTTATTTTCCACCGTTTTGTCCATATCTATATATATATATAAATGAATTGCTACTATTATAGGTACAGTATAATTATTAGTTATTATTCATAATTTATTTAACAGTATTTTTAAATGATACTCTTATAAGTTATATGTGTAAATGCGTTTGCTAATAAATTAATGACAATTCAAAATTTAAGTGGAAGAAACCTCTTTATTTTATTTATGTATTGTTTCTGAGCATACTGCATACATATTGCATGTTTATGATATTAATATTCATATTAAGGAAACAACTTTTTTATTACATTTCTATTTTCTTAAATAATAGCTTATTAGTTTACTTTTTAGCTTGTCAATGCATGTTGCCTAATATCTAAGCTTTTTTAAAGGTTATTGATCCTCGAAATAATGCTAATGGTAGATTGACTGATGAGCAAAAGCACCTAGTAAGTTATGAAAGTAATATTTTGATGTTTAACTTAATGTAATGCCCTACAATGACATCCTCTATAAAATTCCTATCTATGGAACAGGAGGGGCCCTCCCCATATAAAATTCCTAGCTATGGCCCTGCTGAAAATCTTGCAGGTGGACTGAGGATAGTCCACATGACCTACATTTGTTCAAACAATGACAAAAATACGTAAAATTATCACTATTCTTAAAATTGTTTTAACTTAAACTCCAATAATATTATTTTGTTATAAAAATACAATAATTTAAAATAAATATCATATTAGAAATAAGTAATAACTACAATGAATAAACATATTGGTTTAACACACAAGTTTTTATAAAGTACAAATAATGAACATTATTAACTCATTTGTATACAGGGGTTTTGGTCACAATTGAGAACAACTTAAATTAATCATTAAATTATATTTATAGTTATTACGTCTTATTATACCAACAGTTAACTTATACTAAACAACATTTGGTGTTACCAAGAACTTAACATAATAGTAATTCATTACTAAAATTATAACAAAACAATAAGTAGTTATGTTTAAAATTAAAATATTATTTTTAGAAAGAATATTGATTAAAATTAAAACTATTGGAATTATTAGACATATAGACCTCATATTTTCATTACAATAATTACCCTACAATAAAATGTATATCTACCTAAATATTATACATTTTATATGAAAAATTAGAATTTGAGAACAATTATATACTTGTATTACCTGTATATAAAGTTATAACTTATAACACACCTAATTAGTAACATTACACATCAATTGGTACATATTATTTATCACACACCATTAGAGGTGTAGTATCAGTGGTCGTGGTCATTATCGCTTTAGGAACTTACAAGGTACGTTTTACAACAACAATTTATTAAACATAATCTATTAATATATCATAATATCCTGTTAGTATCCGGATGAATTTCCTGGTCGTCTGAAATCTGGCATGGTTTCGATCATTCCTGAGGGGGATTTGGCAATTGCTGTCGCTGCTGAACCTATGGTATTCTTTAACCTAGATACTGGATGACCAATATCTTTAAGTTTTTGTACAACAGACTAAAAATCAAAACATGGATAGTTAAAAAGTGAAAAAAAAATGATTTGTTAATTATTATCTTTTATTGTATTTCTATAGACCCTTGTATTTCTATAATAACCTTTATCGTTCCGTATTCATATTGAACTTCCATAGGAACAAGTTGGTGGTATATCCTAGGTTTGTCTATCACTTCTTTCAATGTCATATTGTACCATAGTTTAAGGGCTGACACCTAAAAAAATTAAAACGTTTTTAAAGGTTAATGTATCTACATAAAAGTTTAAAATAATGTAATAATATGGTTTATTTATAGTTAATTCGATTAACTCTCTAAATTATATTAGAATCAATTAGATTATACAATTTTTTAAATTCTAATTCACTCATTACAATTTCAGTTGTACAACGCTTTCATTCGGTAAAAAATACATTTTAAATTTTAAAAAAACCACGGAGGAATCTCTGCTGTATGTAGGTTTCAAATGAAACATTAATCGTAAATTGTAATTCTAATAAATGTTAGTATTTATTTCTTAAAACAAATTTATTTTTGTAAAAATAATTTGGAATTTATCGATTTTATCTGAATATATTTGTTTTGATTGTACACATGAAACAATGTAATTAATTAATTTTAATTTTTTTATTTACTGCCAATTTTACATTTTTTATGAAATATTTTAAAATAGTTTTTATTCTTTCAATGAAGAAATATCATTTAAATAATTTTTCTAGATTTTGGTATGATTAATCTTTAATACTAGACTTTATTAAATCTTCATACAAATTTAGGTTGCTAAATAAAATCATTAATGTCGGACGACTATAACATATAAATATAAAATATAATTCAACAATAAATTAATCATAACTAATTTAAATAAATCATACGTACGTAGGCAGTAGCAAGCGTGATCTTCGATCCACCTGCTGCTCCTGCACCCAGAACAAAGTCTCCTTTTTTGTCGGTGATTATAGTTGGGCACATTGACGACATTGGTCGTTTGCCTGGCTCAATGAAATTGGCGGGTGAAGATGGAATTCCGTAATAGTTAGTGACTCCGGGAGTAGAAAAATCGTCCATTTCATTGTTTAAAGTAATACCAGTGCTAGGAGACACGAAACCACTACCGAAGCTGAAAGAAAATTAAAATTCAAAGTGTTATTAAGTATTTATTGTTTTCTGTCATTTTGATAAATAATATATTAAAATATTCTGCTCACTATATATTTAAAGTGCTGGTTCCCACGACAGTGTTCCCCCATGAATCCGTTACGACACTGTTAGCAGTCCCGTGGTTCTCTGGCATATCAAAGTCAGCACCATAGTACTTTGGGTCCAATGAAGTAAAATTATCGGATATTTTATTTCGTATACTATCTATATAACTATCTGATGATAATTTTTCATAAATCTACAAATAATTCAGTTTATTCGAACATTAATGTGTTAATATGTTATAGTGTTTGCAGCAGAAAACATACTTTGGAAACGTTTACGAAATTATGATCCCCTAAATGTGTTCTTTCGCCGTATCCAAATTTGAAAGCCTCTACCAATCGATGTGCGTCTAATCCAGAATTTGGTGCTGGCAATATTCCATCCAATATTCGAAGTATGTAGGCTAAGATTACACCAGAACTAGGTGGTGGCCCCACATGTATTGTATGTCCGCTTTTTAAATTTACGGAAAAAGATTCTTCAACTTCTACCCTATAACATGGCATTGGCTATTGTTAAAAAATCTTATAATTTATACACAATAAAATTAAAAACTTCCAATTAGGAGAAAAATTAACATTAATTTTTGTCACCAGTTAAAGGTAAATTGTTTATTACCATTTTTCAACAATAATATTATTTAGGTATATATATTGCTCGACTGTCTTTAAATTATATCAAATTTAAAAGTTCTTTTTAGCAATATTAGTTTTAATATAGATTGGTACTAACTCATAATTGGCTAAGTCTTCTTCGGTTATAATGCCATTGACTTTTTTTAAATCTTCCACTAGTTGATATGTTAGCGACCCATTGTATATGGCATCGGAACCTTCAACTGCTATTATTTTCAACGTCTCTGCTAACTTTGGTAATTTGTACTCTTCTCCAACTTTTTTTAAATTTCCAGTTGTTTCATCGAATAATGCTTTTCTAAAATAAAACATCGCTGTTTGATTAAAAAAAGTTTAAAAAAATTTTAATAAAAGAAATCAACAGATTTTTTCGTTGTAGGTACCTGAGAAATGGGTCATTCTTTATCAAGTCTTCGTGATTTCGCATGTTTAACTCTAAACGTTCACTAATCTTTATACCATTTTCACATAACTTAATAGTTGGCTCAAATAATGATTCCCATGAAACCTTACCACCGTACAATTTATAAATCGTCGAATAGCCTTTGAGTTCCCCCGGAATCGCTACCGCCAAGCCACCTGATGGATATTTTAAATAGGTATAAATTAAAAATTGTTTGACGATATTACTACAATCTCATAGATACTGTTGTATCCGTGTCAGACTGATAACATTATAACATGATAAATAGTTAAATAAATATTATGCTTAAATTGATATCTCTAATAAGCAATTTAATTAACTATTTAATTCTTGTATCTACCTACGTATATTTTTGTATATAAATTATAAGTATTGATTTATTGATTTGATTTGCAAACAAACAATTAATAAATTTGAAAATATAATTATAATATATATCATCTGCTCACCTTCTATAAGCTGTGCTTGTATTGAAGGTGATGAGTTCTTAATATAGAAATTTAAGTAATATATAGTAATATAATATACTCATCGAAACAATTTAAATAGAATACATATATTAACAACTGGACTGTACCTATATCTGTATTTATTACAGTAAAGAACGATAGAGATATTAGATCATTTATCCTCAGATTTACCATTTTTTTTTTTTGTAAAAGACAGTACAGATTACAGAACTATAATATTCATTCTTGGTTTGATTTAATTTGTACTAAGATCAATTGGTAAATTCTAAGAAATAGGAACAAATTATCATATCATATCATTATCATATAAAATAATATGAATGTCACTTTAGTCTAAAATCCATCTATTTTTGTCTACCCACCCAAAAAAAGTATTATCACTTTATTCTAAATGAAATAAATCTATCACCAAAGTATTTTATTTTTTATTTTTAAATGTAAATTTGGTGTACTCACCAAGCACCGATTTTTTGGGATCTTTTACAAACATTTCAGAAGTAGCTGCAGCCGGCGCACTTTCCCGTGCATTGATTGTCATTACTTTTTTGGTTGTTGCGTTGTAGATGCTCATTAAAAATCCTCCACCAATACCCATGTACTCAGGACAATAAACACCGTCACATAACATTGTTGCTATAGCGGCATCCACGGCATTTCCTCCGTTACGCATCACATCCCTTTTGCAAAACGATTAAAATATTAAAATTGTCTATATTAATATCAAGCATATTAATCGGAAAACTACCTATACATTTTATTTTAAGTAGTTAGGTACTCAAAGTCTAAGCCTATAGTATATTAAATACTCAAACAATATAGAAGTACCTATTCTCTATGTTATACATAGGTTAGTTAAATAATTTATAACTATATTAGACAATTTGTCTATTTATTTTGCTATTTTATTTTTCCTAATAATAATATTTAAATACATCGTGAAAACAAAATATGTTTATCAAGGTTTTTTTTTGTTTATTTCATTTAATTTTTTTTCTTGTGCCCTATTATAATATTATTATAGTGTTAATGTAACATGATAATATTGATAAAAATTTTTATTTAATATATTTTTTTATTTCTTGTATGTATGTATAAAGTATACGTTTTAAGACTTCGACAGCAAAGGTTATAATATTATATGTACAATTTATTAGATTAACATGAATAATTAATAGTAACTATTAACAACTTCTGAGAGGCTATTATTCAGTCTTTAAATGTATTAAGTAAGTTATATTTAGAGATGAAATCAATTTATTTTTAAATCTTGGTTCTTCATTGAAGGCTTCTTTTTTTAATACATATTAATATTTTATAGTACCTACCTATCATATTTAATAAGTAATGTTTGTTAAAATATTGTGTAATTACTAATTTGTTGTACTGATATCGGAAATTAATTTCCAAGTAGGCACAAAAAGTTATTCTATATTTTTTGGAGATAATTTATTAACCTATTAATTAACCTAATCACAATGCACCTACATGGCAAGTAAATATTCAAATTAGAAACTATTTATAATTATTGTTATTTTTATGATAAATCAGTTCTAACTCAAAACTGATTAGAAAATGCATTGTTACATCGTATAAAATGCAATGTGTGTGAACACTGAATCTTATAATATTATGCTATTAGTTATTACTTATTATATTGTTTTGGTTCATTTCACACAGTATCTATCTATTTAAGTTTAAACATCTTAGGGGTAATTGTAATAAACTAATTAGGTACAGATTATTAGTGTTTAAAATAAAGTAAATATTATGTAAACATTAAAATACAGTATATTATTATTTATTGTGAAATGATAAATGTTAACCAAACACAATATTTAGGTAATGTCGTTAAATTTTTGTTTTAAATACTATTTTTATTTAATTAAATATCTGTAATAATTACACTCCGATCTGTGCGCACGGTCCACCGTTGGACACGACGCCGACGTTGCTGTACGATCCCATTGGCATGCTCGACGGTGGCAACTCGAATTGCGGGTCTGGAATTTCGCCATTGGGTGCATTTTGAGTGTATACGAACACGAACGATACCACAGCGACCAATATCACCAATCCTACTAGAACAAGGCAACTTTTTGATTGATATCTGAAAAAATAATATCGTTCCTACGCGTTAGCCATTGACCGTATTTGTGTTACAATATCATTTTTAGGCGTTTCGATAAGGGCACTGCACACTCAGCACACTTGGATCAATGTCATAATAAATTACCACTATATTATAGTCAGCTAACTCAGGTATACGTACACAATACACGGGTGTACCGAACCAATACTCTATAATATAGTCTTATAAATGTCATCGACGAAACAGGTGAGCAGTGCCAAAAGCGAAATGTATAAGTAACAAGCATGACGGTATACACAAACGACAAATAATCAATACTGTAAAAAATCCTGGGATAGTGGGTCAATAATTAATTACCTAGTAAGATATCAGAGATATATTATCTAAAATGGTGTAAAGTATCAAGTATTTAAAGATGTGGAGTTAAATAAACTTTTAGTTCCAATGTAATATACTATTTTCTTAACATCGGCGATATATCAGGTTTATACATAAACGTTTGCAATAATATATAATATATAGTTATATATTTATTTTTAAATACAGATGTTATGCATTACTACCTAAGTAGACTATAAACTGAAATTAATTAAAAAATTACCTACGGTAAAAATAATGTAAGTAATATTATATAATGAATATATAATTGGAATATAGATTACGGTATAATAATTCCATTGATTTTAAATACTAGTATTTATAATCAATGATAATACCAACCACAATGTCCAACCTACTTTATTATTATGTACCATCAAAGAATAAGAACTTCGATTAAATACCGAATAATTTTGAATTTTCACCTACATCCAGGTCATATATCAAGAGGATTATCGAGCTCTATAGTCTATAACATATTTAATGGGTAAACTGTAACAACGAACATTTACAACATTCGTTGTATAACACGCATATAATAAATATACACTAAAAAAATGGGTGGTTTCTTAGAATTGGGTTTTGAATGAAAAATGTATCGTTGTATCGACTGATAGATATAACTAATTAATACAATCCTTGTACCAACCATGCTCTATTGGTATAGTTTAAATTGTATTTCCAATTGTTGAAAACCTAAAGTTGATATTTGGGTTAAAATTATGAGTGTGTATGAACTATGAGTACCTACCTACCAACTATTAATATTGTAATTGATTAAAAATAATCATATTGTATTAGGTACCTACCAGAAGCTCTCTATTTACCTACACATTGCAATACAATAAAAAATACAGAATAATAAGTAAATAAGTAGGTACTTAACAAAAAGTAAAAAGAAAACTCGACCAGTTTGGTCCAGGAAAAAAATTAAGACTAGGTACTCAATTCCAAAAATAGAACGGTAATGCCTTTATTTTTTTTGGTTTTAGTTTCAAATTAATCAAATTGCAATTGAAATTAGTTAATTTCAACTTTCATGTTAACAAATAATATATACCTAATAGTCTAATACCTATGTACAATATGTATTGAAATAAGTATAATTAAAGAACATACCAGAAAAACATGTATCTTCTTCGTAAATTGGCATTTTTAAAAACAGTCATGCAGTTTGATACATTATATTATATAACGTACCTATTCGAATAATTTTGATGAATTTATTGTATTAACTCGCTGCAGGTAGCTCGAATGATAAAAAAAAATTTGAAGTGCGACAAACTTTTAAAAACTATTAAGAAATAAATTAAATGTTTATTTGCTAGGTAAAAAACAAATCGTCGTTACCGCGCATAAAATAGTAAACATACGTGACCACTGACCAAAAAAACAACCTGACGCGACGTGTTTGAACCAAATATTATTTATTTTATAATACAATACTTATAATTGTCTGTATGGTTTGTATTATGGTTTTGAAATATACGATATATTTTAGTTGTACTTAATTATATGACGTTATCATTAAGCACCGACGAAAATAATGCGGAACGTTGTACTACCTAATTTACTATAATTTAATTTTTTAATTTTGTAGAACCATACAATTTAAAAGGTCACATCCCGCGTATGTTGTCACGGTCTTACAAACGTACAACAAAGCAAAAGAAGACAAGATAGAAATTCGTTTTAAATTCTAGTCTTATGATGTCATTATGTCAATGATGTCATTATGTCAATGATGTGTATAAGTTAAGCTTTTAATTACCTATACTGTTGAAAAATGAATATTATGAAAAAAAAAGAAAACAGGGAAGTCGCTGAACAGTATAATAGGTAGGCATACGGTATATGTATATTTCCGTCATTGAATCAGTCGCACTGTAATGCATTTTTTAAATTTTAATCCAATGATAAATCATTCAATAACATACGTATACTTGAAAAACGATTCTGAGTGAAAATCGTCTGACAACCTATGTATCCTATTTCTTCTACTCTTCTTAAGAATATTTCTAAGGATATTTTATTATATCTTTAATACTTATATATATATATACATATACCAATCTATTTTGAAAAACAACATATCATCGTGCATCATACTTAGAAAAAATTATAATTTCAATAATTGGTGAAAGTTGCAAGGCTCTGCAGTCTATAGTTATTCATTTTTGAATAATTAAAACAAAAATAAAATCGATTTGTTGACCCACCCAAATACCAACTAAATTCGACTGATTCGAGTCACCCTCAAAATTGAAACCTATGAATTTTTACTGCTTCAAAATGTGAATAACGATGACTGATACCAAAATAAAAACAAACATAATTTTAAAACCAATATACATTATTCATTGCTCCCCACAGAATTTAAAATAAACTTGCTGTATTGAACTATATTCATAGAAAATGTATGATTTTCAAAGACGCCCATACCTAATACTTATAAGTTATAAATGTTAGGTATAGTATAATATATTATGTGTTTTAGAGTTTTAGACATTAGTGTAGGTGTCATATGCCTTACATACATTTATTATTATTTTATTATCGGACTACTGTGTTGATTATTCATTGTGTTTTAAGTACCGAGTATGATACAACACATTGTATATCAAGATGAATGAGTGTTTCCTGGTAGTTGTAGTATCTAATATTACCATTATATATTTATATTTTATATTCATAATACGCTCACGTCTTAATCTCAGTTACACCAGAGTACCAACCAGCGTAAAATACAATGTAAAGAGGTACTCAGGTGCGTGTACCTATATTATTAATGCGAGTAATGATCTTTTAGCAGTAGATACATTAGGTTTTAAAATATGCAAGTATTCTGTTTTTTTATGTGGATGAGGTGAGGGGATAGATGATTTTGTTAACTTTATTTTAAAATGTTCTCCTTATTATTCAGTACCTATATAATATATACATTATACAGAACGTAGAATAGGTACATAATTTTACATTTCTCGTTTGGTTGAGTTTATAGGTACTATACCGTAAAATATACATGCAATATACACATATACACTTCAGGCTTCACTGCTTAAGTAATAGTATTTGATACTACTATAATTAAAGTACCTACTGGTTACTATACGTCTATACGTCTAAGCTATAAAATAATTTTAGTAAAAATAAATAAAAAAAATGTTCTGCTGAAATACGGTTTGGACACAATATTTTAAAAATTTTTTACGCACTCCCATTGAAAACAGACGACAAACTAAAATTTTTAGGTCATTGTCATGTTGCCTGAAAATTCAAAATTATAATAAACTAGCTGAAAACCCGGCTTTGCCAGAGAAAACAATTCTGATTTTTCAACTCCTTTTGGGTGTAACACGCTGTGGAAACAATGTCTTTTTAAGTGTAAATTATATTATATTTTATTGTATTGTATTTGCGTTGTCAGTGAGATTCACAGCAGACAGCAATATATTATCAGGTAAGCAATCTACCTGATATAGATCGCGGACACCGTGTGGTTTGTAAGTAAGTGCATAATTTAATTCTAAAGTAGTGATACTAAGTTTGTCGTTTTTACTAATAAAAAATATATTATACAATATCTATATCATATAATATCATATAGTGTATATTATACAAAACCCTAACCTAACCTAACAGTACTAAAATCCGATGAGTAAAAAAAAAAAGAAACATTCGTATTTATAGATAAAGAAATGGAAAAATGGAAAAATGGAAAAATAAGAAAAAAACAATGTAGAAATAATGTGAACACTTGGCCCACGGAGACCGTGGTTCTAACTTGAGATATTCTGTACTAAAATACATAGAAGTACCACTGAGCCAACAAGCTTATCGCTTTAATAATAATAATTATTATTAAAATCAATAGCAATTAGCAACGATTTACAAACAAAAATGTCCATCGTAAGTCTCTATTTGAGCACCTTCCCGGGTTGGAATTTACCCTTTTTAAATTAGCCTATCTTTTTCTCAGAGGTCTAATCTATCTCTGTACCAAATTTCATCGCAATAGGTCCAGCCATTTAAGAATGCATAAAGGACAAACACACACACACATTTTTGTATATATATAGATTAATGATCATAGCCTATAATAGACTATAGGTGTGTATCCTCTGATTCCACTACGAAAATAATAAATCCGGGAAGCTCTTTTGGTTTGAAAATTTTGGGACGTTTATTATAATATATTCGAGATGCAAAACTTATAAACCGAGTACTGACCTATGTCTCTTTTTCGTACTCCCGATTAACGGCGTGTTTTCGGACATATCTACAGACGAATTCCTTCCCGACGAGAAAACGCCATCTAAACGAGCTCCGTCCATTTGATTTCATGCACAAAAATAAACTACGACGGAGCGTAAACGCGAACTGCAATCGGCAATCACGTAAGTAAAACCAAACTGACCTCAGTACCTGACAATTATTGTGGTAAATATTAATACGTATTATGTATATTTGTATAATATCTAAAACGAATAACGATAATAATGTAGGAGCAGTATACATAATATTATGTACCGGGGTCGGCACTTGGCCTATAATAGAATAAGCAGTAACTAGTAGCTAAAATATGATCATGTAGAAACTAATAAGTAATAAGTAGTTTTCTCGATTGGTATACAGTTTTTATTTATCACTTATTATATCATTAGATAATAATAGTAAATTATGCCATCACTCCACTCGCGTTTTACATCTGTCTGGTCTGTTATATAATAATGAATAAACGGTATAATAATGTACCAGTGTTACAATATTATTATATTATGGTGTTAGTTAATAATAATTCGCGCGAATAATAAATTAAAATATAAAATTTGAACGCACCTGCAGATAACCATAATTTCCTTATCGTGTTCTGTCCTGTCAATTAACCGATGTAATCTGAAAAATATAAGACAAAACAATGAATGAAAAATTAATTTTGGGCTCCTATATTAATTAATATTATAAATAAATATTATATAAATTATCACTTGTATCAGTCTTACGTTTACTTTATCGGACGGTTTAAATCGAAGACGTTCGGCTCACCGCGACCAAAAGTAAACTGAACACTGAACGTGTTATAAATTTAAAACGTCTTTTTAACCAAACTTACGAGTAAATGCATATTATAATACTGTAAATTATAATTTCTAGCATAATATTACACTTCAGACTTGATGTCTGATGAGTCTACGTGTCACTTACTGTTGTAAGTCGAACGGTGTTAAATACCCGAACACGATATTGATTTAAAGAATATATTTTATTATATTTTGACGATAGACATAACGAAAGTTAAAGTTGCATAAGAATTTAATCTATAATCACCACAATGATTCACAAATTATGCTGCTTTTATTTAAAATTCGTACCTATTCGTATACCTAATAATCAGTAATCATTGTTTACTCATTTACCTACTTATAAATAAAAATCTAAACTTAAAAATAATTAACGATACTTTATTTCTAATCCACTTCTTATGACGAAATACTACAAATAATGATTGAAGATGTCGCAATCAAATAATCAAGTTGTAATTTCACAATCGAAAGCTTAAATATATACTTTAGAGTTACACTTTAAGTATATAAATAAAGTATAAAGTATATAAATAATTTAAGTAGTATAATAATTTTAATGGGTTTTACTGTCTCTGTTAAACGACAAAAGTAACGTGAAACAATATGTTGAACACATGACCCTGAATTTCATGAGGATTATTTTTACTGCATATTATAAGACTTAATAAAAGATTTATTTTTAAAGAATTTTTTTAATTCCATTGAATTGTAGTATTTACCTAAATCAACTGTTCTAAGAAGGAAAACGTTAATAGGCTGTACATTTCTAACCAAAAATTAAAAATTGTTTTATAACGGATATGAATTAAAATAACACAGATCACAGTCAACGTATTCCTTTAACCGAATATCTATAATTATAAATATTAGACGTTATATGCAATGTTTTTATTTATAATGTGAAATGTAAGTAATTCATTTTTACAAACTAATTATACAAATAATAATGGATAACTTCCTATTTACGTCACTCACACAGTAGCACTCTCACAATGTTATAAATCAATGGCATCGTCCATTGTAGTTACGTATTGCACAAATAGGTTTGTATTACATTTTATTATTTTAATAATATTTAAAAATAATTGGAACGATTAATTCAAAAGATGTTAATTGTAGAGACTTGGAACTCTTCCCCATTACGTACTTAATTATTTTCTATAAACAATGATCAATCATTTGATAATTTAGTACGTATTATTATGTCGAGTTTCACAATCATATAATATTTAATTATATTATATTATATAATAGTATTTTTATATTTCGATTGAAACATTGATATTTCTACTCCTTTGTTACTTTTTGATGCATCTAAATATACTTTTTGACCATTGTGGTAGTGTTCTTTTAGGTGTTAACCGTATCAGCTTATATTTTTTATATTTTTTTAGTCACTTGGTCGTTTCACTGACGGAATTTGGTCATGTTCATGCTGGAGTGGGGGAAGGCATTATTTCTTATTATTACCTATATGTGTATTTTTTTATATCGGGAAACGAAATCATCAATCGATCTCAATTCTTAACCATTTTTCATCATACAATTATTTAATAAATTTGTAGGTAATAGGTTGTTTAAAAGCACATTTTGTTAACATGTAACATAATATAACACATTTATGCAGTTTATACTTTATTTGTAGAAAATAATACATGATTATAATTTAACATCATTAAATTGATTTCGGTGGCTATAGGTAGGTACTGAAGTTTATCTATTCGATACATTTCACAATATATTAACAAATTTCCAACGCTAGAAAAAAAATAGCTTTTTATTTAAATACATAAAATTTGTCTTCAGTTTTATAATATTTACAAATTATGCATGTTGTTATTCTATATATATTCTTATAAGAAACATGCATACCTAGTAAGTTATATGCACCATTTACAGTTCTCGGTAAATGTTAGAGCTGTTTAAAAATACTAATAAAGTAATAACTAATAATTTAAGTATAGTTATTTGAATGCGTTACTCATATGCACATAACTTATCTCAAGTATACTATAATATTATACATACTATGTAATTTATTGAAAACCGCTTTATCCAACTTCAAAAGTTTCATATGTGTTTGAGTCTCTGCTAATGAACTGCAGTATGCGTAATGTTTATATTATTATAATCTCGAACAAATTGTTAACTAAAGCTTCATTAAATCTAGTCGTCAAGACTATTGTGAAAGCAGATACCTAATAGTCATGCATATAATTATTTTATGAAACTTAATATTAATAGTTTCCATTCAACGTTAATGATATTTAAATTTGGAACTAGTAACTACCTAAGCCATATTATGAAATGGACACCTACTAGCTACTAATAATTTGATATTTCATTCATTTTAATCGTATTTCAAAATAAGAGAAAGGTGATCTTACTTGATAATTCAGTGATACGGCTATAGGTACCATAATGTTATCAATGATAGATACAATTTTAAACTATCCACAATGGATTTACTTATTTTATTATATTAAATTACATAACACAGTTATGTCAATAAATGATGTGCCAACAGTAAAAATTGTAAATTTCTTAAAAAAATTTAAATATTAAATACATTAAATTATATGTAGGTACCTACATAAGTCTTAACATGCATATAATAAATGCCAAATTAGAATTTGTAATTATACTTTATGAGTTCCTACATGTTTGAATTGATTAAATATATACATAATAGGTATATAATATTATATAGCAAATACAGGTAAGTATCTAGCTATAGAGGCTAGCAAATAAAAAATACATAATGATACGTTCATATGCTTATAATTTTGTTTTAAGTATAGACAAGTGTTCTTATTAATACTTTTATTAATCCGTCACCTGAATTGAACAACGTATTAATTTTAATTAATAAATATTTTTAAAAAATCTTAAAACATTGTAAAATATGAATTTTTCGATGCCATCAAATTGTGTCCAACGACCATGTAGATAAAATGTTAACGCAATAACATTTTTGACAAACAATTAATTTAAAAATACATTTTATAAAAGGAATTTAATTTTAAAGTGTGTGACGTTCATAAAATAAGAACTAGAACGTGATGACCACATTTTTTCCAAACACTGCAGGTTAAAACAGTCAGTAACTCAAAATATTCATAAATGTAATGTTTGTTTATGTATTATCATGTATTAGATATAAATAAAAATAAATCACTTGAATACTTCTAACTACTATAACGTTAGCGATTAGTAATAGTTAGAAAGAAACTGTGAATTGTCTACGCTTTTCAAGAAATAAATTGTTCACTATATGCTCACGTGGTAATTTGGTTAAGAGTTTTATTATTAAAGTAAAACTTATTTCAAGTCGAATAATAAAATTCAGTTGGTATGCATAGTCTTATAACTTTACTTTAAAATTTAAATTGATAATAACATGTCCGGTAAAGCGTCCATATTATATGTTTTAAATGTCAATAGGCAAAACAGATACGTTCATAGTTTGGATTGTGTAGAATTATTGCTAGGTATTATTATTATTATTATTATTAATATTATTATTATCATTATTTTAGAATGATGATTAAGATTATTAGTGTGTATCGTCATAAATGAAATTCTATAAAATAACGTATAAATCTACAAAAAAAATAGGTAGATACTTTATTGTGTCAAATACCCCAGTACCTACCATTAAAGGTAAAAAATAAAAAAATCATCAGCAGATTGTCATCGCTCTGCACAATAGACACGTATGTATTGTATAATTATTGGGTAATCAGATAATAATAGAATACAATTCAAATTATGTACATCCGCAAATATTTTAATTTAAAATAAGTAATAGGAAATGTATAGTACTCAAAACTTTGGGTTGGTATAAGTGTAACATAATGATTTTGTGTGAAAAAAATAATTGTATATAGTAGATAAATTTATTCACTCAAAATCTAATCCATAAAATGATTGTATTGTATAAACTAATATAACAAGCAGTAAGTTTTGTAAAAAAAACGTCAAAATAATTACCTAGTTGGTTATTTATTTTTGTTAACACATAGGTAGGTGCTAATAATAAATAACGTTTGAAATATGCTATAAAGAACTTATACAAATACATTATACACATATAAACTCATTCGGATGACTTAATATTGTGCATTGTACACAAACAATTTGTTAGTACACTTTATGCTATATTGTACAATACTATTCTAGTCATTATAATATTTTACTGCATTGAAACTGACCTTCTATGAAACAGTAAAAAAGCTTTTTATAAAATAATAGCTATGATCACGCAAACTCAATATAATAAGCGTATATTCGACATAAAAATATATATTTTGTATAAACCTCAAAAAAATGTACTTTAATTTTTTAAAAGTGTGTTAAACATTAAGAACTGCCTAGTCAATAGAGATGAACAACAAAACAAAAAAATATTTAATAAATTGTATACCTAGTCTTAGACTATTCATTTTTCATTTGATAATATTAAAATGTCAAGTTAGCTTAGAATAAACATAAGTATTATTATATAGGAATAGGTAATATTGTACATTATATTTTTGGTACCTTTAATATTTTATTTGTCCAATTTGCGTATTATACTGTATGAGTAAAAATGTGCATACATAATAAATAACACTCACAAAATAAAAAAATGAATCGAATAGATGTATGATTTTTAGTAAGCCACGACGAACTACCATCACAGTCTATTTCGTACTGCTGATTAAAATATAACGCGCCAAATAGGTAGGAACATACACAACACTGGAACGAAGAGAGAGCGCGTCGTC